TGATCCTGAGGTGACCTGTCATAAAATACATGGTGGAGAACACTGCACTTGTCACTCTCAGATTAATTTCTGGTTCCAAGATTGAATACCCAGCTATCATGTAGATCATGGGCTGGTCAGGTTGTTGCCCTGGCCATCTGGGTAGTTTGCTAAGCTTCTGGATCATTCTCACTGAGGTGCTACTCTGACTGTCTCTACACTCTCCTGCCCAAGAGCTGACTTATCTTCATATATATTTTGTAATTCTTTTCACAATAAAGGCAGCTAAGATGAAAATGTGCACACGTTTGGAGTTTAAATAGGCCTATTCTTATTTGTCCCAATTGTATTAAAGAACACTACTTAAATACCTCCCCTTTTCCAGAGTTGCCAGGTGCTTGATGTCAATGGATCTATTGAATTCCACCTTTCAGCTCTAGCTAAGAGGGTTTGTTCAAAGATTATAAGTGTAACTTTTTCTAAAGACATGATTTTCATATTTGCCTTCCAGCTTCTCCTATTTCAGCATCCCGCCTCCAGAGCCCTGGGACTTGAAGACTGCTGTGCTCTTGCCTTTCAGCTCCTCACACTGGTTAGTCTTTTGTTTGCTCTGTTAGAACTGTGGTTTCATTTCCTCCACAGTGTTTTGAGGCACCCCCTATGTGGGAAGTTTGTGGAGGTGTTCTCTTTTTTCCCACAGGACTTCCTGTGGGCAGGAATTCTAAGGGAGCCCCAGATGGAACCACAGGAGGCGGGAAATACAGAAGAAAATGCATACAGGGCCTCCGGATCTTTGAAATCTAACCAAGAGATGAAGTAAGTTTGCAAAGCTTCAAGGAGTAAGCAGGAGTTAGGTGTCTTTCTGTGACCACACATTACTGGGGTTCTTATTGGAAGGAGGTGAATGGGTGCCTTTCTGTGACCACCACATTACCACGGGCTTCTTATTGGAAGGAGGTAAACAGGGTTTCTGGAAGAATTGTGTTGCTAATTTTTCTTACTCTAACAAAGTCATGGAAAAAATTAGATTTCTTTCTAATTTACTATTAAAAGCTAGAGACAGTTGAGTTCAAATCAGAGTAAAAGGTGAAGTGCTAACAGATATGAGTTTGAATTTTAGCTTCACCACTTCCTAGAAGGTGACCTCAGGTAAACAACGCACCTGTGTCTCCCCTTCTTCCTTTGTAAAAGAAAGTGATGCAGTGTTATTCACAAGCAAAAGTCATGGCGAAAGTGTTCACGCTCTTCACGTGCTTAGGCAGAAGGCACACACTGAGAAAGCCCGTACCACAGGGCACTATTACATCTCTTTTATCATTTCTTTTCCTTACTCTAGATTTAAGGTGATCATTAATAGTAATAATCAAGTATTTCACTAGAAAACTTCACAAAATGTAAAGCTGATGATCTAAGTTGAATTTGATGCTTGAAAAATGTATAACAATTTTTCAAGTAACTACCAGCCTCACACACAACTGTTATCATTCATGGGCCCCACTGAGCAAACTTCTCTGTCATATTGAGGAAGACCAAGAAAAATCCCAGAGTTCAGCACAGCTGAAAGAACACTCATTTAAGATAATGGAATATAAAGTAACATGATGTCATGTGTTGAGAGTGATGGGGAAAGATGAACCAGGAGGGAGATAGTATTTGTGTTCAAGTGTAAAGAGAAAGCAGAACTAGGTGCTGATGAGAAAGATGTCCTGATTGAGTTGACAGCTGATGAACAGAATCTTCTAGAGTTGTTTCTTACAGTAGTAAGAAAGGCCTATGAAGAGGAAACTCCGGGTCAAAATAAAATCTCTAGCCTGGATGGAAACCTAACATTCCGGTTGAGCCAATTCAAACACCTGGCCAAGAGACCATCCCCATGAAGGCAGGTTTACTTTAAGTCACACTAAAGAGTTAGGTGGGATGATTAGGGCTTTGAGGAGATGGTGAACTTTCCCTGCCTGGAATCCCCACCCCCTGGTGCAGTAGCTTTTTGTGCTGAAGACTTTGAGACTTCTTGTTTGATAACTTCTCTGTATTCTTCAGAAAAGTGTAGCCTCCTTTTCTTCTTTCTGAAGGATAAATGTCTCTGCATGGAAAGCTCTAAGCTAAGTTGAGAAACCCTCAGCCCAGAAACTGTGTGAAATCCCAACCCAGACACTATGTTATCTGGGAAATCATTTGCCAGCCGTTATTGTCCCAAACCCTCAAACCATAAAAAAACAGAACTGCAGAAAGCTCAGACCAACTGAGCCTCAGTGTGGTAGTTTTCATCCTGTGGAGAAACTAGGCCTTGATGTTCCCCCCAAAGAAACCGTGGTCCTTCATTGTTCTAAGAAAGAACAATCTGCTCCTGAGGCTGGTCTCGTCTTTCATTTTTCACATCACTCTGGTCAACTCTGATCTAACATTTTCTAACACCTTCTCTTTTCTAAGCATACTTTCCCTAACATCCTGGGCTTCCCCAACTCTGGGGGTTTCTTTATTCTTTCGGTAAAACTCCCCTCCGCACCCTCTGTCTGACCTCCACGCTGCCTTAAAACCACATGCCTTTTTTTTTTTCTTTCTCTCCATTTTCCTCAGGCAGCTGCTGAGATCTACAGCTTGCCTGCCCTGAGGATCTTTCTTTTAAACTTTATTAATCTTCCATTTGAGTCCCTTATCAAATTCTTTTTATTAAAAAGACTAAGAACTCCAACTCCCCCTTTATCATCAGGATGGTTAATGTTCATGTCAAAGAAACTTAAGTCCTGCCTCCTTTCCAGATTACATCTCCTCTATACCCCCGTCAAAAGAATACGATTTCCTCCAGGTAAAAGGAAAGACTTCTAAGGGGACAGGAACAAGATTTATTTTAATTTTTGAGTTTTGTTTGGGGCTGGGTATGGTGGTGCACACCATGAATCCCAGAATTCAAGAGGAAGGAGCAGGCAGATATCTGTGAGATCGAGACCCGCTTGGTCTACGCAGAGTTTCAGGTCAGCCAGGGCTACGGGGAGACCCTGTCTCAAAACCCAAAAAACTAAATAAAACAAAAGTTTTGTTTAGTAGCAGAAAAATGAAAAATTTGCAACTTTGGGTTGATTTATGTGGGAGTCTGAAATTGCCAAGAGTGAAATGAATGATATAGATTTGGCTAATGTAACTGTCAATCTAAGACTGTGAGGATCATCTCTAGTGTTTCATCCCTACACAGGTTGTAGCACGCATTAGTGTATAGTTATAGTTACAGCGCATCAAGGGCAGCAGTGGGATGTGTTTGTTTTATTTTTCTAGGATTACCTTATAAGGACAATAAAGATAATATCTACCCTTAAGTTGTCATGACAAGTTAAAACATGTTCATAGGGTTGGAGAGAGCTCAGTGGTTAAGAGCACATACTGCTCTTACAGAGGACCTGAGTTGGGTTCCCAACAGCTATACTGGGCAGCTAAAATCTGCCTGTAACTCCAGCTCAGGGGGATCAGATGCCCCTGGCCTCCACGGGTACCTGAAGTCATGTGTACATCCCCTCCCCGCCCCCTGCCACATGCATAACTGAAAATAAAGTCTTTTAAAACTACCCATAAAGCTCAGCATCTGACACATATGTAGAAGTCTTTCTCAAAGAATTTCTTTCTATAGCCTTGGCCCAATTTTCTGATCTACAAGTAGTTTAACTTGCTATTAAATTTATAGTCAGAGGAATACATATTTCCATAAAAGGTCATATAGGGAGCATCATATGGCTTGAAATAGATGGCTTAAATATTTCCCATCAACACATACATCCTCTGGCCTTAGCCTGCCCAAAATAATTTAAAAAATCTATAGACAGCACATTTTAATTTCCTGAACAGATATCAAAGAAGCAATGTTTTCTAGTTATTGATGGTGTCTTTGTCTCCAGAGAGCCATGGACTTTTCTCCTAGTGGTCCTCCTTTGTAGCTGGGATGGGAGACTGTCAGCAACAATTGTCCTAGAGCCTGTATTATTTTATTCTTTAAAAGTGAAACTAGAAAGAACACTTGGTAAGTTGATGTATTCCATCTCAGTGCAAAAAGAAACAGATGCATCGTTGATGTATAGTTTGCCTTTTGCTTATTTCTTCAATACCTGAGCGTGTTTACCTGCCTTACCATAAAATAGGGAAAACAGGGAATGAGTGGGTAGGAAGGGCAGCTGAAAAGTGAAAAGACAAAGAGGTAAATAGCTGCCCATGCAGAGCTGACAGCACGGATGGGATGTCCCGCTGTCAGTTTTCCAACACAGTGTAGTCTTTTCTACGGGGCACAGAGATCTGCAGGAACCTCGGTGCTGTCTTCCGCATACTGAAGTGCATCACAACTCATGCATTCAGTGGTCTTAAAGCCAAGACCTCATCTAAACTGGCACACATGGGCTCTGCAGCATGATTGACCACATTTCCTAAGCACCCAGAGACTGAGCTACCTGTCCCCAACGACAAAAGGAAACACAGCAGTTTTGTAGTCTTCTATGGATCATCTCTTACAAGCACAAATACATGAAAATTATGCGACTGTCAAAATGTATTTTCAAGATATTTGAAGTTAATAAGTTGTGAATAGTAAAATGATAACATCTTCATCATGACTTATGACAAGAATACCCTGCACGATTACTGTACTGAATCATGCTTTCCTGTCCCAGAGACTGTGTCATATAATCTTGAAGACTTATGTGTGGTACTGTTCTGAAGAGTCTCAGTATAACATTTAAGTCCTAAAAGTTTCAAACCAATAGCAAGTTTGTGATTTATCTGGTGTAATCCTCTCCTGAGGAAGTCTGTCATTTCACATTAAACAAAAACAAGCCTCTTCACACTATGAAGTTAAACAGAAGAAACACTGGGGTTGGAAATGTGGCCCAATGGCAGAGAACATGCTGAATTCAGTCCTCAGTGCCCCTCACATTTAAAAAATGCTGTAGGTTTGAGTTCCTTCTACCATGTGGAGGTGGCCTCATGTTTTTTGGAAGTAGAAGTTGTGGTGTTTACAGAGAATTTAGATAAGGTGGAAAGATTACCTGTCCAAGGGATCGCCAGTCCAAGCCTGCACTGCCGATATAGACGTGCTGTTTGTCCACAATCCAGAAGGAGGACTGCAACCGGCCCTTGTTATAAGCCGTCATATTCATGTAGGTCACCTCGGCTCCTAGGAGGTCAAGGAAATCCCAGTCAGTCTCTGTTCCCAGGCCCTGCAATGGCAATCAGGTATCTACCAACAGCAATACCCAGGAGTGCACTAATCAAATGGAGATTTAGGAAGCCAGATGTTTACTTAGAGCTGGTATGGTGAAGGCCCTCACGGTATTACTTTGTACCCCCCCACACCCAAAAAAAACAAAAAGGATTTTTCCTGCTTATGAAGAAGAAACTGTATACATTGTGATAAGACCATGGCTTTTCAAGTCACCCAGACAACCATGAAAGCCCTGGTCTAGCACCGGCCAGCTGGATGGAGAGGTAGGTATGATACACATTCTTTTCTTCTTACTCTGAAATAATTTTCATACAATTTTTCAATTTTAAAAAGAATGTCTTGGGGCTGAAGAGATGGCTCAACAGTTAAGAGCACTGACTTCTTGTAGAGGACCCTGGTTCAATTCTCAGCAACAACTTGACAGCTAACAACAGTCTGTAACTCCAGTTCCAGGGGATCTGATGCCCTCTCCTGATCTCTGAGGGCACTGCACAACACAGGTGCACTTACATACATGCAGGCAATACACTCACACATATAAAATAAAAATAATAAATAATGTTAAACAAAAGGATGTCTTGCTCACTATTACGACTCTCCCAGTAGGAATCTGGCTGCCTTATGCTTCCTGCCCCCAGTTTCATCCTTTCACTGTTTTCTTTGTCTTCACTTTCCGTCTTCACAGTATAATTTGGATTTGGTCTCTTCTTGCCCTTTATTTAATAGTTATTGATTCAAGCCATGATTATTCACATCTTACTGAAATGTAACCTTGAGCCCTTAACTAAGTACTCAAACCAAAAACATTCCAAGAGCTGAATGTGACCAATTGTTTTAATCAGACTGTGGTGGAATCCACTGTCAAATCTTGAAGCATTACTGCCCCAAATGCATTTACAGCCTCTCAAAAGAAGCATTAATTCACCCTGATGCAAGGCCATTTAAGTATGTTTCTATTAAGGTCCAGTCTCTCAAAGAGCAGACTTACATATATAGGTTTAATAAACTGAATTACTCTGTCTTCAGATATTCAATATTAATGAAAAGAATAAATCCCACTGACATATTTCACTGTCAGAATAATTATTTCCAAGAATATACGATATTGCACGCATAAGGATATTAGAAAGAAGGGAGAGTGATTTACACGGATACAACCTCCAGGGAAAGCTATGTCTCCAGGCTCCTCGAGACAAAAGGGTAAAAACAGGGGCCAAGGAGGAGGATCTGTGGGCACAGGAGTCCCGAGACAGATTTTTCTCTGAGAGTAGAACAGTTTATTTATTATTTATTTATTTGTTTGTTTATTATTTTATATTCTAGAAGCAATGGGCATGTGCTCCTTAGCCTCTAGTTATCCTACCATAGGAGCAGCTGAGGAAGAGTGATTGATTCCAGAGAAGAAGCTATGGGGTGGAGGAGTATTTCAATGTCCAAAGCAGGGGGTCACCATCCACAGCAACTGTGGGGAGCCCCCAAGTCTCTGAATGGAGGCATGCGCAGGTCTGAGACATATCCATCAGTTCTTCTGTGTGAGTGAGAAACAATGCTCTTCCTTGGAGATAGTCCTAGTTTCCCAGGACTGCCATGATAGAGCACCATAAACTGAGTACCTTAAAATGGTAGAAACATAATATATCAGCTCTGAAAATCAGCAGTCACAATTGGACTGGGGAAGAATACGGTGGGTTTGGTCCAGATTCAGTCTTCAGCACCCGCCTCCAGCCAAATCCTTCTTACTCTGTCTTGAAGCTATTTGAACTCTCTGAAATAACATCTGCTCCTCACTTCCTAGCCTAGAACACTGTGCTTAAAACTTGGCCCAGGACCAGCTGCTATCTTCTGTGTACTGTTTATTAGTTTTTTGAGTCCCTGTTTGTTCTTGTTAGTCCCTTGGAGCCCCAGCCCAGTAGCTTCCTGAGCCTAGGGGGCTAGTCTGAAGGGTCCACGGAACCCCACCCTTTTGATCTCTCCATCCCACACTATGTATGCATTCCCCTAACATTAGCAGGTTACTTCACCTTGCGATTTAGTTTAAATAATTTGAATTTGGAGACCATGGGTCTTAGCTAAGCCTCTAGTTACAGCCTCTATAGTTACTTATTGATGCCAAAAATGATTATTTTATGAAGAGACAGTGGCTATTCTTTGGCAAATCTTTATTGAGCAATATATACAAGAATGCTGTACTGCATGAAAGCTATGATAAAAGATTTAAAGTGACTAAAATTCAGGTATGCTAAAGTCTTTCAGTTTGGGCTGCAGCAGCAAACTGCCATAAACTGGGTAGTTATAACAGTCTCATTTCTCACAGTTCTAGAGCCTGGGAATCCAAGTATCAAGGCACTGGCTGGTTTGTTATGTGGTAAGGATCTGCTTTTTGGTTTAAAGAGGTCCTTACTGTGTCTTTACATAAAGGAAACGGCAGGGGCCTGTTCTCAGGTCTCTGTCTATCTCTCTGTCTCTGTCTGTCCCTTTGTCTGACAAGATCTCGTTATAGCCCATGCTGTCCTCAAACTCACAATCCTCGTGTCTCAGCCTCTTGAGTGCTGGGACCCACGCATGTACCATCTAGGTTGAATCTCTCCTTACAAGGTCACTAATCCTCTACTCTCATGATCTAATCATATCACAAAAGCTTCATCTTCTAACAATGCCATCTTGGGTATCAGAATTTCAGCATACAAATTTTTTAAAAATATTTTATTATTTTTATTTTATGTGTATGCATGTATTGCCTGCATGCATGTAAGTGTACCTGTGTTGTGCAATACTCATAGAAGTCAGAAGAGGGTGTCAGAGCCCCTGGAACTCAAGTCAGGATGGTTGTTAGCCACTGTGTGGGTACTGGGAACCAAACTGGGTCTGGGAACCAAACCATGTCCTCTGCAAGAGCAGGCAGTGCTCTTAACTGCTGAGCCATTGCTCCAGTCTCCTTAGCATACAAATTTTGAATGAACCAGAGCAGCATCATTTTTACAAATGATTAAGATTTGGTTCATTCTGAAAGGGGTCAGAAAGGGGGATCCCCATCACTGTACTGGGGAAAGCCAAGTGAAGGCAGAGAGCAGCAAAGACAGGGACTAATGTGCAGTTCTGCCCAGGGTCAGAGATACCCCCACAAAAGCCAACAGAATTAGGTATGAAATCAAACAATACATAATGATGATAATCCCTTTTTATTAAACATCTCCGTGTTATTAACCACCAAGAGAGCTAGGCTGTAACATTCTGAATGGCTTGTCTCATTTCTTCTACTTTAGTATAAACATAACATCGCACACTGACTTTTCTGTCAATGACTCACAGCATATACAGTACTGGTCCTGTAAGATCATATTGCCTTAATATACAGTAGCTACCTTAGTGGGTGTAGGACTCTGATGTAGCACTAAGGACATATTTCTCAGATCATATCCCCATTACTAAGCAACACTTGTTTGTCTAATAATGTGTTATAGGAAAATTGACTGAAAAAGTTGATGATATATCTGGAAATACTTTACAGTATATGGCTTTGGAATATCACTTCTCCTTTAAGAATTAAGTATTTAGGGGCTGGAGAGATGGCTCAGCAGTTAATAGCACTGATTGCTCTTGCAGAGAACCCGGGTTCGATTCCCAGCACCCACATGGCAGCTATGAACTGTCCTTAACTCCAGTTCTATGGGAATCCGAAGCCCTCTTCTGACCTCTGCAGCATTGCACGACACAGGTGTACTCACATACATGCAGGCAATACACTTATACACATAAAATAAAAGTAATAAATAAATTTTTTTTAAAAAAGAATTAAGTATTTATCTCTGAATATCATCCAGCTATCTCCAGTCATATGCTTTTAATAAGTTGTACCTCGTTAGATATACATTTATTTAGTCAAGTCCAATATTTCTGTCGTTATTTTTTTGTATTTTACTTATTAGTTTTATTTTATGTGTATGAGTATAATGCCTACGTATATGTAAGTGTACCCGTGTCATACAATGTCCATTAAGGTCAGAAGAGGGCATTGGATCCCCTGGAATTGGAGTTACAGACCATTGTTAGTCACCATGTGGATGTTGGGAACCAAGCCCAGGTCCTCTATAAGAGCAGCCAGTGCTCTTAACCACTGAGCCATCTCACCAGTCCCCCTCTCAATTTATTATGAGAAAATTATTCAGTGTTTTATTTGAGAAAATTTATATTTATATGTAATTTCAGAATATCTGTGGAGATTGGCTGCAAAATTTAATCCTCAATTTGTTGTTTTGGAAACAGAGCAGAAAGATGGTTAAAATCCAGTCTTTTCTGACTATAAGATGTGTTGAATTACAAATGTCTTTAGCATATCATTTATTGCTATAGTAGTATTATGAACATACATTTCTGTTAAATTGTTCTCTTAAATTTTCTAGATATATAAGATTAAAATGTCTTTAATACACATTTTATGAAAATAAATATATTTTATAACATAATTGAAAGCAAATTTAGTTAAATTTGATTAATCAATTTTTGTTTTCAGAGAATTGACTATCAGTAAGAAAAAGTATTATGTGTCATTTTTGTGTGCAGTTTGTGATCCACAGGGCAGAGACCACAGGATGACCATAGGAAGATGTACACATCACCCCTCCAACCCCTACACACACAACACACACACACACACACACATACACACTGCATCACAACCACAATAAGCAGCTGTGCACATTTTTGCATGACACTCTACTTACTTAACTGAATACTAATAGGCATTATTAACAACTCAGAGAAATGCCTTTTGATGCTCAAAGTGACAAATCAATTGTATGTAACTAGTTTCTACAGTTGCTTTATAAAACACTTTCAAGGCATTGAAGCACTCCTAATTAAATGTTAAATAAACATACACAAAAAGTCAAGGTTCAGGATTAGAAATACAAAGCTCCAGATGGTCTGACATGATGATGCCAAGACGCAGGCCT